ATCTAATTATTTTTGTTAGTTATATTAATTATTTTAATTTATTGTCTATATTTTAAATTAGAAAAGAGAATTAGTGGTTTCCATCATTATTTTAATGATTTAATATAATCTATTTTTTAACTAAATTTTGATTGGCTAATGGAGAGGGGGTGAATCCAAGAATTGTTCTTTTGATAATCTAAATAAATAAAACCAATACGCAAATATTCTAAAGCTAGCTGCACCAAATTTGGCTAAAAAGCCTTATGTTTGTACATGACTTTTTTTGTTTAGTGTTTCAAACCACCACATTTTACAAGGAAAATATATATATAGTCTACTACAAGTAGTATCTTAGATTCAGCTAGTTATCTTTTGTAATAAACTTGGGTTGTAAATGAACGTGGGAAGAAGGAGAAAATGCGTTTTTGACACCACAAATCCTATGCTTAGTGCTCCAAGGCAACAACACATGCAAGCCACAAGCCTTTGGTGAGAAACAAGATTGCCTCACAGTTGCACTCAAATAAGCTAGTTTCTTCTTCCTCCTTTGGCTAGCCGCTGATGTCACGGCTGCTAGAGCCGCTGCATCAGGCAAAAACCGCTCTATTATGTAACTCGGTGACATGTCTTCGCTTCGCTCCGTGCTCTCCATTGTTAAGTAGCCGTTTGAGTCACCTTCCCCGCTGCTTCTATCATCTGATTCTGAAACGCTATCTTTTGGGTGTTCGATCATGTCTATGGCTTGCGTGAGAGACAAGACATCGACCGCGTCTTGGTTGGTTTGATGGAAATGTTCTTGATTGTCGCGTTTGTTTAGACGCAACAATTTAGCTGGTGTTAAACTTTCACTTGCATCATCAAAATCGTTGTTTTCACCATTAACATGCAACTAGATGCACAACAAATCACAAAACCAATTGACAAGTAGTGGATTAAAAAACCGAAAACAACAAAAAAGGGGGAAAGTTCATATGTGGTTCAGAGAGTAATAATACCTTCAATCTTCCTGGAGGAAGTTTGAGGCGAGGCGTCTCGGATTCAGCGTCATCTTTCAAGAGAGACGAGTTCTTGGGCATCCCGGGAGCGGTCTCCCAACAAAACGGAACAGAAGCTTCCGGAAACTGACCCGGAAGCTTCTCTTGGGCGACATGCCGTTTTGTCGACAAGAAGGGAGCATTGAAGTTTAGCCTCCGGGATCGGTTCATATCCATCATTTCCTCAACCGTAAGAAACAATATCATCTAGGTGAAAAAGATGTTTCTTGTTTGTAAACTTAAGGAAGACAATTTGCGAGTTTGGATGATGATTTTGTTGTATGAAACACATAACATAGTTTTATATTTTGTTAGCTGAAAGCTGAAATTTAATGAGAAGTTGTTGAAAGTTTGAAGCTTTCTCGTGTGCAAAACCGATATTTCTGGCCTCTTTATTGTATTCACAGACTAGTAACAAAAAAAAAGAGAAGCAAGAGAGCTTTTAGAAAAAAGTTAAGTCTCCAGCCATGTGGTTATAAAATCGAGCATGAAACCAAACAAGAACTCAAAACCACAAAAGCCAAAATGATCTCCTTATTAGAAGTGGTAAGAACAAAAGTTAGAAACAGAGCAAGATGTTGAAATGTATGAATGAATAGTCTCTTTGTTTTCTTGTTTCAGGAGGATAAAAAACACATCCCTGGATGCTTTGAGAATCAATACAAGAAACATGTAAGAAACAAAAAGAGTGAAAAAAGTTACAGATACAATTACATAATTCCAGTAAGAAAAATAAATAAAAGAAAGAAAGAAGCAATAACACATCTTAGAAATAGGACAGAAGAAGAAGTCCAATTTCACCAGAGGTAAGTTTCTTCTTCGTGGTTCCCTTTTTTGGCCAGAAAACGTATTATCTGTAGCAGCAAGAAACACTCTCTGCACTACTATATATAGTAATCCTCACCCCCCCCCCCCCAATAACCAAAATTAAAGTAGAAAAAACAATATAAAAGTTTCTATTTACATGGCTATGCTTGCTTTTCCCCGAATCTTGTTCGATTGCTCAGATTCTGTTTTGTAGAAGGAAAATGAAACAGTGTAGAAGCATACCAGGAGGGAAGAAGAGAAGAGATTTGCCCACCAAACCAAAATGATAGTTTTTGTTCTACTTTTGGTCGGTAGCATTAGGTTCTCGTGCTTTGTGGTAGAGCTCGAGTGTATCTGCGTGACCTGGATCAATGCACAATGCTGCTTCACAATCTTTGACAGCAGATGCTCCTTCTCCCATGGAATCATAGAATGCTGCCCGTAGATGTAACAGCTGGAGATCTGGTTTAAAGGATATTGCCCTCGAAAGCTCGTCTATGGCTTCATTTTCTTTGTGGTCGTCCATAAGAACTGCAACCAAGAGTTAATGCAAATCTCAGTTGTGTCATGTGTTGGCTCATTTCTGCTTTCACCACCACATATATGCAGGGTTTTTAAGTTTTGTAACACTTTTGTGTATCTAACGGGTCCATACAAAAATGCATATGCAGAGTTAATCCCTTAATAAAGGATTCAGCCATGGTGTCCTGCTTCTGCCATTCAAACAAAAGGAAAAAGAAAAGGAGAAGACACTATGCGTAATTATCGTTACCTGCGGCTCTGTATCTGTAAGGGTAGGTTCGAAGAGGGTCTAGTTGTGTTGCCAGGCTTAGGTCGCTCTGTGCCATCTCTCGGTCACAATATTCAGAGCGCTTCTCATATGCTGACGCATTGTTCTGAGCTTTCTCTATTAGCTTTGTCATCTCATCATAAGCAGCTTTCCGTTGGTTTTTCAGATGGTAAACACGAGCCAGACCTTGGTGAGCTCGTGTGTGTTTGATGTTGAGCGCGTTTGTATAGCAATCAGCTGCAAGATCTAGCTTATCACAATCCACATATACGCTCCCCAGGTTGTTCAAAGCCTACAAGCAAATACACCAAAGCAAAGTTCATGATACTAAATCATTCCCATGGAAATGTCACTAAATTTAGTTCGATTACCACCACAATCCAATATCAACATATTATTTAAGACACGAAAGTCAAAATTCCTAAAACTTAGATCTAAAACTATGGTAGTCTGAGGGACGATCCAACAAGTAAACCCTCAAGAGAAAGAACTGAGAAATCAAATTACTTCAACAAAAAGAGTTGAAACTTTTTTTACTTACTTGTCCCTTGCGGAGACCATCCGAGGGGCACCGAAGTGCTTCATCAAGGAGCTCGATAACGTAATTTGAAGACTCAGGGTCGAGAGTAGAGTCCGCAAGAGCATAAGCTTTGAGGAAAAACGCTTCAAAAGATCTTTGAATGGAAATGGACTCCTCGGCCTTGGCCAAGGCTTCCTCCCGGTGGCCTGTATCATATAGTATCCATCCTTCATACACAAGTCTCTCATGCTCCGACTTTGAATGGTTTCGAGCCAACCTTAGACTGCGCATTGCTGCCTTTTGACAATTTAGCCTGTCAGTATGCAACCAGCACTTGTTACAAATCAATTAGGGTCTACACAACATGCATCGTAGAAAAACACATTTTCATAGACAAGCGCAAAGAGAGTTTATTATACCGTAGCAGAAGAAGAGATTGTCTGAAGCGTAAAAGACTCTTCCCTGGATCATTTGCAAGCATATGATGAACAACTGCTAGAGATCCAATATCATCCACAGAAGACCAGCGATCATACAGCTGCATCCAGCAATCAGCCTGGCTCCACTGCTGAGCTAGCGGGCGGAGCAACTCCACCATATGATCACCATGGATTTTCCCGTTAAACATCATAAAATTTGGTTCCAAAGTCAAAAGAGCCCGGATATCTTTCAAAGCACCTTCATAATCCTCCATACCTATAGAAATCCATGCCCTCATCTCCAGACAGTCAGGAGAGGCCTTGAATCCAAGAATCTTGTTCAGTTCCGAGATTGCAGCGCCAAACTGGTTCTCTTCCACCAATGCCACTGCCCTGAATTTGTATGGGAATGTCAAAGTTGGGTCTAACTCTGTAGCTGTATCCAAATCAAGCAGCTTTTCTTTACCGCTGCAATACAAGGATCTCTCCTGATGCATCCACCCAGTAGCCGTGTAATCCGAAATCAGCGAATTGATGATCTTATAAGCTGAGTACCTATGGTCCCGCTTGAATTTAGACCTGGCAACGCCCACGAGGGAGTAAAGATGACCAGTCTCAGCCGCTGTGTTAAACCATCTCTGAGCATCTTTATATTCTTTCCTCTCCAGCATCACCACTCCTAATTGATGGTACGCAAGCTGTTTCTCCCAGTTTTCAACCGCACATTCAACCAAACGTTCCAAGAGCATCACAGTTGTGTTAGATTTCATATCATCTTCCATCGCGATCTGGCTTAAGAAGAAATACAATGTAAAAGAAGCGTGGCCAAGAGACGCCAGTCTTTCCCGTCCCTCGGCGCTGCAGAAGATCTTTATAACATTCGGATTATGCATAGAGCTCGGCAATTCCCTGAGAAAAACCTGGAGACAAGCTGCCACAAGAAGGTATGCAGCCTCTTCTAATCCATACTCGATCAACAACATTGCCTCGTCAAGGCTATTAACAAGATACGCCAAATGCGAATCGCAAGCCGATTTCAATTCATCGCAGCAGAACCGATTCGCCAGCTTGAGTAGCTCCAAGACAACATTAGGAGGGAAGTTATCTAACTTATTGGTCCTGCTAAATATCTCTGCAGCTCTCATTCCTTCAACAGAGATTCCATTGTGTGTGAAATTGATCGTCCCTCGTTTCATTTCTCGAAATCCACCGTATAACATGGCCTTAAAAGGTCTCGATAAAGACGCGATTTTGTACCTTATACAACGAACCTCTTCGTCACCGATGCAGAAGGACATGTCATAGTCTAATTCTTCCTCAGAAGTGGAACATTCCGGGACATTATCTGATCTTGAAGCTCCGGAACATACACATGGATCGTAGACAGATTCCGGGTCATACCCGGAAACAAGAGTCGCTTTGGGACATTCCAAATTCCTCCCACAACAATCCATAGATGTTGTTCCGATAAGCTCGTCTTCTCTCCTCTCGAATCGGAGCCACGAAGCTAAGACGACTTTCGCGTGAACGTCAACGGCATGTTGCCTAGACGATCGGAGACTCCGCCGGAAAAGTTTCGGATCAGATAATCCCCGGAATATAGCGCATTGTTCTAAAAAGGCTCCAGATTTCTCAATTTCCGGACAATGATCGATCCGACGATAGACTTCGGCCATCTTCTCGATCAAATCAACGAATTTCAAACAAGGATCGATCTGTGGCTCAAGCAGATCCGTAACAGGAAGCCCACAAGGGAGGAGACATTCAGGGGACACGATTACGTTAGGTTGATTCAGAGGAGGATATGTCCGGCTAGATTTGGATCGGGTCGAATTGACACGAAGATGATCTTGTAAGTGCTGTAGAAACTTAT